AAAAAATCAGGGATTATTGCAGGGAAACTTGTAACCTTTGGGTGTGCTAACTAGTTTCTTCCCAAAAAGTTTAAAGAGCTCTCTTGTGAAAGAATATTCCTATGAGTAACTGAGGGGTACGGCTCCCAGACTGAAAAGTATTTGGGGTCTGTCACCTCTTTTCTGATGTTACTACTTCTATTCTTTATTCTTCTGACTACCTCTATTAGGAAAGATAATACTTATACCTGTCCCTTCTTCTCAGTCCAAATAGAAGCAAACCCAGGTTGTATTTGAGATATCTGCATATTTTCTTCCAAGCAATTCTTTGTCCTCTTCTCTCCCATGCTTTTCTATTTCCTATTTTCAGCAGGCTCTGAAGTCATCTATAATTTTTACTGCCCCTCAGTGACATTACATGGATATTCATCCCCGATTTGCAGATTAAAGCACTGAATCAGAGTGAGGTGAGGGTTGCCCAAGGTTACACAATAAATCTGGCCCCAAACAGGGGTAACCCTTGAGTTTCTAGCCTGTTGATTGGCCACTGACCCATGCTGCAGGCACACAAAGGAAGCTGCACCCACAGCAGTCTGTTGTGGATGGTTGCTGAGCTTCGCATTCAGCATTGGGCTTGCTTTGTTTCCTGCCAGGCCCAGCATTTTCTTCTACCAGATCGGCAGGCTTTGTGGGCGTCTTCCTAGGGCCCTCCCCTGCACTCTGAATAGGAAAGCTGGAAGCTGTGCTTTAGAGAAGCTTTAAGACGCTGAAAGAAACCAGAAGAGTGAGTGCCAGTTGTATGTGCGTGGTCTCCATCCGCAAAGCCGGAGCTGGGCGCAACAGTGTTGACTTGTAATTGATGAATTTAGATCGGGGGCAGGCCGGGGGAGGGCAGTGCTTTTGATTTAGGCTGGGAAAGGCCTCCTAGTGACTATGTTCAATTTGGAGGAATTCAGATGTTCTTTTGTGATACAAGTGAAGCTGTGTAATACAAATGAGGAGTTTTACCTTCCCTAAATCTTCCCCTTATCATTCCCGTATTATCAGTGAGATCTGGTTACGATTTATGTAAATGGTGGCTAAAAAATTCAAACGACTGAGGGGGAGAATTCTCATTTTGGAACTTCACATGCTGTGCTGAATAAGTAGCGTGGGATGTTGGCTTTGTGACAGGTCTTTTGTCATTTTTCAGAAAGCATTTTGACTTGTTAATGTCAATTTGGAACAGTTGAAAAATTCAGGAAAATAAGGTAAATACATACATATTGAGGGTGGGGACAAAATGAATGTTCTGAACCAGCTGCCAGCTTACAGTAGCCATATAAGCAGCAGCAGCAACGCACCAACCTGGTGAGTAATAGGCCTGATTCACTGGAGAGATAGTAGCGCCTTTAATGAGTCAGATGGATGCACACTGGGTGTGGGAGCAGTTGGACTTGTGGGCAGAAAGTCTATCAAGAAGCTCAGACTTGCAAACAACTCTAGGACATGCAAAGCAAGCTGGCATTGGAGCTTGCTGGACACAGCTGCTCAGGAATAGGCAGCTGGTTTTCCCTTTGATCCCTGAGATTCCAAAGGCTACTTTCCTCTTTGTTCCCTTCCCAGGGTCAATTAGAGTAGAAACTGCAGATGCTTTTCAGTTGAGAATTTTCCTAGATTTCTTAAAAATGTGTATGCTGGCTTAAAATCTGCCATCAAGAATTCCATTACCTTACTTTAAGCCTCCAGTTCCTTCAAGATGTATTGTGGAGGAGACCAGAGGGCCCTTGCTTTGAGGCTTCAGAGGATGGTCATTATCTGGGTGAGCACTGTGAATAAAGACTGCGAGAGCAACTGAAAGAAAGTGGGCCCCTGAATGAAAGTGATTTTGCAAAGTTTAGGCAGATGCCACCATCGGAAACTGATATTTTCTGATGTCTTTCTCACCTTCCTCTAGAGCATTCAGTCCAGAAATGACCAGCCTATCCAAGGAGGAAATTACTGATATTGATCTGTTCCTTAGAGCAGTGTTTCAGCATTTTTTTTTTTTTTTTTGAGACAGAATCTCATTCTGTTACCCAGGCTGGAGTGCAGTGGCATGATCTCAGCTCATTGTAACCTCCACCTTCCTGGTTCAAGCGATTCTCCTGCCTCAGCCTCCTTAGTAGCTGGAATTACAGGTGTGCACCACCACACCCAGCTAATTTTTGTATTTTTGATAGAGATGGGGTTTCACCATGTTGCCAAGCTGGTCTCAAACTCCTGACCTCAAGTGATCCTCCTGCCTCTGCCTCCCAGAGTGCTGGGATTACAGGCATGAGCCACCACGCCCGGCCTTCAGCCTTTGTGATGGTAAAGCACAGTAACACATTTCTCATTACACCCCTGGACGCACACACACATAGAACCCAAAAGTTTCACAAAATGATTCTTGCTCTTACTACTTTCAGTACACCCTGCATTTTAAAAAAAAGAGAATGCTGGCTGTGGCTTCCTAAGTGGTACGTGCAGTTTTCACATCAGTGCCCTTAGCAATAAAATGTGCCCTATACTGATTATCTCTGGACAAAGTCTGAATGGGGCTTGGCTCTAATCTGTAGTCCTCACTGGACATTTTACATACCTGGCCTTTGTCTCTACCCTGATGTGGAGTGATCATGGGGGTGGGAAATACAGCTGGATCCGAAAGCTCTGAAGTGGGGATGGAGGTGTCACAGCTGAGGCTAGGCCCATTCTGCAGGGCACTCAGTGTGTGCAGTTGGTTTTCTATCAGGGGTCAACTGGCAGGGGGACTTGAGGACAGATCTCTGGGCACGAAGCAGGGCCTTTGCCTGGGGCTTGCTATGTGGCTCAGCCTACACAGCTCTCTCCCTGTCAGTCCTGTCCAAAGCCCGGGAAACTAATGTACCACTCCTGAGGAAGACAGCTTACCTCTCCATCCAAGGAAGTGTTTTACCTGTGGTAAGCACTGGGGACAGAATCCTTGAGAAAGGAGGGTGCTATGTCCCAGTGGTGGAAGAAAAGAGAGGACCTGGGTAAGCAGCCATGGCATGGACCTCATCCGAGGTGGCACCTGGCTAGGCGTCCTGACCCCCAATCTTTCCCCAGTAACCATCACTTTGAGTAAACAGTGGCTCCACTCCCAGCATGGTTCTTTGCACCAACATTTGGGGAATGCCTACCAGGGGTCACACACTGACCTGGATGCTGAGTGTAGGGTGTCTACAACATCGTGCCTAAAACGTCTCTGTATGGGGTATAAGAAGGTGCTGGTGCAATACAGATGAGATAAGAAGCATCTTTCAGGGAATGGGTTGATCCCAATTCAGGCTTCCCAGAGAAGGATGTCTATAGACTTGATATTAGCAAGGGAGGTAGGGTAGCCAGGCCACAGGACTGCTGGTGTAAAGACCAGGGCATATGAAATGGCAAGTGTGATTGTGCTTTCAGCCAGTAATTTGGTATTGTCAAATGATGTGACCAAATAGCTAGAGAGGCAGATCCTAAAGGGTCCTGTGAGCCAGGCTAGACTTCATCTTGTCACTAACTAGTGGAGAGGCTCTGAAGGAGATAAAAAAGCTCAGTTCGTCTCGTGATTAAATCCAAGTTTTACAAAGGTCACTCTGACTGTAAGTGGAAGGTGGGTTGGCCAGGGGATCATCTAGTCTGGGTGAGAGGGGATAACATGAAGGGGTGAAGAGAGATTTTGAAGTGATTCACAGGATTAAACATTTAAATAACGGAAGTGGAGGAGATGGGGCGGGGGGTGTTCCAGATTTCAGGCACAGAAGAAAGAAGTGCAGTAAGCACAAATAAAGAGAAATAGGAACAGCAGGTTTTAGGGGAGAAGATAACAGAATGGGTTAGAAATGACACTTGAGGCCGGGCCTGGTGGCTCACGCCTGTAATCCCAGCAGTTTGGGAGGCTGAGATGGGTAGATCACAAGGTCAGGAGATCGAGAACATCCTGGCTAACACAGTGAAACCCCGTCTCTACTAAAAATACAAAAAATTAGCCTGGCATGGTGGCGGATGCCTGTAGTACCAGCTACTCGCTACTCGGGAGGCTGAGGCAGGAGAATGGCGTGAACCCAGGAGGCGGAGCACTCCAGCCTGGGAGACAGTGAGACTCCGTCTCAAAAAAATTAAAAGAAATGACACTTGAGTACCCTAGTGTGCTAGGTAATGATCTATCTGTCTTCTGTCTGCTTCCCTTCATTTATCATGTATATTCCCATTTAATTTGCACAAAGACTTTGAGTTAAACGGTCTTACCCCAATTTGTCAAATTTCTGTGTTAGATGCATGATATGGTACAAGAAACCATAAGTGACTGAGGCAGCATTGGTGTTCAAATTGCCTGACTACAAAGACAGTGCTTGTTGGCTACATTCTGTTGCTTCCCAGTTTAGAACATGTTACATTGATGCCTCTGTTGCATTTCCAAATAAAAAAGTGCAGAAAGAAGGTGGCTGTATAAATCTGGGGCTCACAAACTAATTTTGATTATTGAGAGTTTGCTTTCAAGGAGCAAATTGTGGCTCCTTGATTATGAACCTTAATTAAAAAAAACAATAATAATAAGTCTTATTCCTGCCTTGTCTGGAGCAAGCCTTAATGGATTTTTACTGCTGTGAATTTTCTTTTCATTGAAGATTTTGCCTTCATCTATGTATCTACTTTCCTCCTGACCATATTCAAGGCAGTTTATTCATGAATATACCCATTTGTGAAATTTGAACTTAAGTATACAAGATTATAGCTGTTTGGGAAGCTTTTTAAAATTTTTTTAAGAGTAGGAGTAGAAAAAGGTCTCTGTATTCTGAATGGGAAGACAGTGTAAAGCAATTTTTTCCCTTTTCCTGTCCTCCTTTAAAAAAAAAGTAAACAGCCGTATGCCTCTGCCAAATACTAACTGCCTCATCACCTTTTGTCCAGATCGGGCAGCTTACATTTGGTTTTAAGAAATTAGGAATATGTGTCTTTCTGGCACCTCAGTAACCCACGTGATTGTGATTCTTTTCTCTTCTTGACTCTGATAGGTGGCATGGAATGTTCACATGGGAGAGCCACATGAGGCTGCCCACCACGCTTCCTGAAGGATGCCCGGGTGGAAGAATTTTGATGTGCCAGTGTCCTCGTTCTACAGGGTGTTCCATTCTTTCACAATCTCAGAAAAATGGGATTAAAAGAAACTATTTTGTGAAATAAAAAAACTGTTTTCCATTTTTAATGACCAACATGTATTAAGATGGACACCTACTCTACGAAATACGAAGTTCTATGGTCCCGAAGAAGCCAGTGCCTATCCTAAATAAAAACAGACTTGAGTGGATATGAGAATGTTGATTAGTGGCAGAAGAGTCAAAAAATGGCAGTTTATTCAGTTATTTGCAACTTGTTTTATAGGGAGCCTCATGTTTTTTTGGGAACCGATCGATAATCACATTGTGAGCCATATGAAGTCATATTCTTACAGATACCTCATAAATAGCTATGACTTTGTGAACGATACCCTGTCTCTTAAGCACACCTCAGCGGGGCCTCGCTACCAGTACTTGATTAACCACAAGGAAAAGTGTCAAGCTCAAGACGTCCTCCTTTTACTGTTTGTAAAAACCGCTCCTGAAAACTACGATCGACGTTCCGCAATTAGAAAGACGTGGGGCAATGAGAATTATGTTCGGTCTCAGCTGAATGCCAACATCAAAACTCTGTTTGCCTTAGGAACTCCTAGTCCACTGGAGGGAGAAGAACTACAAAGAAAACTGGTTTGGGAAGATCAAATGTACAATGATGTAATTCAGCAAGACTTTGTTGATTCTTTCTACAATCTTACTCTGAAATTACTTATGCAGTTCAGTTGGGCAAATACCTATTGTCCACATGCCAAATTTCTTATGACTGCTGATGATGACATATTTATTCACATGCCAAATCTGATTGAATACCTTCAAAGTTTAGAACAAATTGGTGTTCAAGACTTTTGGATTGGTCGTGTCCATCGTGGTGCCCCTCCCATTAGACATAAAAGCAGCAAATACTATGTGTCCTATGAAATGTACCAGTGGCCAGCTTACCCTGACTATACAGCTGGAGCTGCCTATGTAATCTCGGGTGATGTAGCTGCCAAAGTCTATGAGGCGTCACAGACACTTAATTCTAGTCTTTACATAGACGATGTGTTCATGGGCCTCTGTGCCAATAAAATAGGGATAGTACCACAGTACCATGTGTTTTTTTCTGGAGAGGGTAAAACTCCTTATCATCCCTGCATCTACGAAAAAATGATGACATCTCATGGACATTTACAAGATCTCCAGGACCTTTGGAAGAATGCTACAGATCCTAAAGTAAAAACCATTTCAAAAGGTTTTTTTGGTCAAATATACTGCAGATTAATGAAGATAATTCTCCTTTGTAAAATTAGCTATGTGGACACATATCCTTGTAGGGCTGCGTTTATCTAATAGTACTTGAATGTTGTATGTTTTCACTGTCAGTGAGTCAAACCTGGATGAAAAAAAACCTTTAAATGTTTGTCTATACCCTAAGTAAAATGAGCATGAAAGACAAATATTTTGAAAGCCTAGTCCATCAGAATGTTTCTTTGATTCTAGAAGCTGTTTAATATCACTTATCTATTTCATTGCCTAAATTCATTTCAAAGAATTCGTATTTAGAAAAGGTTTATATTATTAGTGAAAACAAAACTAAAGGGAAGTTCAAGTTCTCATGTAATGCCACATATATACTTGAGGCGTAGAGACGTTATTAAGAAGTCTTGATGTTAGAATAATTGCTTTTGGAAAATACCAAATGAACGTGTAGTACAACATTTCAAGGAAATGAATATATTGTTAGACCAGGTAAACAAGTTTATTTTTGTTAAACAGCACTTGGTGGAGGTGGTAGGGGCAGGGAAACGTCAGCATAGGAGAGAAAGTACATGAATCTGGTAAAAGAAAGTCTCTTGTTCTTACGAGGAGATGTAGAAAAATGTGTACAATGTTATTATAAACAGACAAATCACTTCTTACCACATCCATGTAGCTATTGGTGATAGAGTCATTAAAATACCTTTTTTTTTTTGGTATCTTTTTTCAAAGTTTAATGAGAACTTTGAGAAAAGTGAGTAATGCTGCCCTAATACTTTGTATGTTTTTAATGGATTTTTTTTAAGTATTAGAAAATGACACATAACATGGGCAGTTGGTTGTTCATAGGGTCCTTCCGTAGGGAGAAACCATTGTTAATTCAAATAAGCTGATTTTAATGAAGTTTTCAACTGGTTTTTAAATATTCAATATTGATCTGTGTTTAAGGTTGTTATTTGAATGTAGTTTACATAGAGGAATATAATAATGGAGAGACTTCAAATGGAAAGAGAGAACATTACAAGCCAAATTTATCCATAATTTTATAAAATGAAATCTTAGTGTCTAAATCATTGTACTGATTACTAAAATTAACCCACTCCTCCCCAACGAGGTCTTATAAACCACAGCACTTTGTTCCGAGTTCAGAGTTTTAAATTGAGAGCATTAAACATCAAAGTTATAATATCTAAAACAATTTATTTTTCATCAAATAGCTGTCAGAGGTGATCTTTATTTTCTAAATAATTCAAACTTGAAAACAGTAAAAAAGTGATGGAAAAGTTGCCAGTTTGGGGTTTAAACCATTTTTAAAGCTGCATGTTCCTTGTAATCAGAGAGATGTGTCTGAGATCTAATAAAGTAAGTTACATTTATTTTACAAAGCAGGATAAAAATGTGGCTATAATACACTACCTCCCTTCACTACAGAAAGAATTAGGTGGTGTCTACTGCTAGGGAGATTATATGAAGGCCAAAATAATGACTTCAGCAACAGTGGCTGAACTCACTCTAAGACCTTTGACAGCAGAGGCACCTGTTAGGGAAAATAAGATGTCTCATATAATAAGGTAATGTCTAAAAACATGCAAAACAAAACTAAAAAAGATTTATCGGTATACACAACTGGATGATGATACTTAACAATTTTTAGCAGGTAGCTTTTTAATGTTTACAGAAATTTTAATTTTTTTCTATTTTGAAATTTGAGGCTTATTTACATTGCTTAGATAATTTAGTATTTTTAACTAATGTCAAAACTACAATGTCAAACATTCTAGGTTGTAGTTACTTTCAGAGTAGATGCAGGGTTTTAGATCATCACAGTTTAAGTTTTCTGACCAATTTTAAAAAACGTAGAGAACAAAAGCATATTTGACCAAGCAACAGGCTTATAATTACTTTTTATTAGTTGATTCTTTAATGATATATTGCCTTTTGGCCATATATACCCTGTGTATCTATACTTGGAAGTGTTTAAAGTTGCCATTGGTTGAAAACATCAGTGTCTCTGGCCATCAAAGTGATCTTGTTTACAGCAGTGCTTTTGTGAAACTATTATTTATTTGCTAAAAGAACTCTTCTGAACTGTGTCCTTTTTATTTTTGCTTAGAATAGAATGGAGCAGGTTTAAATTTCAAGGAAATATGAAGGCACTTGCTTTTTTTTCTAAGAAGGAAGTTGCTAGATGATTCCCTCATCACACTTAAAGTACTGAGAAGAGTATTTGTAAATAAAAGGGTTCCAACCTTTTAAAAAAGAAGGAAAAAACTTTTTGGTGCTCCAAATGCAGGGCTATCTTTTTTAAAAATGTCAACAAAGGGAAAATAAACTATCAGCTTGGATGGTCACTTGAATAGAAGATGGTTATACACAGTGTTATTGTTAAAATTTTTCTACCTTTTGGTTGGTTTGCATCTTTTTTCCATATTGTTAATTTTATACCAAAATGTTAAATATTTGTATTATTTGAATTTTGCTCTTGTATGACAAAATAATTAGTGGGTTTAAAAAAAAAATCTATGATTTCCAATAAACAACTGAAAAATTATCAGGAGATGTGTATTTAAACTTTTTCATGAACATTGCTTATATAATCATTCATTCTGTTTTAATGTCCTACATGGTCTTAGCCCTATTCCTATAGGATGATCATGTTCTCTGCATTATAGGGCCACCTAAGATGCTACTGTTTGTCAAATGACTCATGCTGGAATGTCTGGGTGGGGAGATGTTCTTTCCTAATGTAGTCATGTGCCACAAAATGACGTTTCGGTTAACAATGGACCATATATATGACGACAGTCCCATGAAATTGTAATGGAGCTGCCCTACACAGGTGTACCATTTTTTATCTTTTATTTCAGATTTTTACTGTACCTTTTGTACATTTAGATATATTTAGATACATAAATACTTTCCATTGTCTTACAGTTGCCTGCAGTATTCAGTAACATGCTGTACAGGTTTGTAGCCCAGGAGCAATAGGCTCTACCATATAGCTAGGTGTCTAGTAGGCTATTCCCTCTAGGTTCTCGTATGTATACTCTGGGATGTTTGCATGTCCATGTGGTCACCTGAAGATACATTTCTTGGCTGGGCGCAGTGGTTCACGCCTGTAATCCCAGCACTTTGGGAGGCCGAGGCAGGTGGACCACCTGAGGTCAGGAGTTTGAGACCAGCCTGGCCAACATGGTGAAACCCTGTCTCTATTAAAAATACAAAAATTAGCTGGGTGTGGTGGCACACACCAGTAATCCCAGCTACTCGGGAGGCTCAGGCAGGAGAATTGCATGAACCTGGGAGAGGGAGGTTGCAGTGAGCCGAGATTGTGCCACTGCACTCCAACCTGGACGACAGAGCAAGACTGTCTCAAAAAAAAAAAAAAAAGCATTTCTCGGAATTTATCCTCATTGTTAAGCAATGCATGACTATAATCTGTTGAGAGAGGGAAGAAATCACCTCTAGTTACAGTGCCTTAAGATACCATTTGCAAAAGTTAACGTTTTCCTTTTCTTTGATACTGTTAGCTGTCTGAAATACAGTCAATTTTAACCCTAATCTCTTAATATCAGGAATGCCCTTACACCTACTTCGGAGTGTTTGGTGCTTCGATATATTTGCATGTAGTGTGCTCTCATCTGTTTTTTTTACCAGATTCCTGCTCAGTTCTTCACATAGCATATTGTGTAACTCAATCTATATTTAAAACTTGTAAGCATCTGAATTATTTGGTTATGGTAGAACTTTTTACTTGCAAGGCATGGTAGGAGTGTTTGTAGTTGGTACTAAAATGTGATGACTTGGAAGAATTAATTAATGACCTATATTTGGGGATTTTAATTGGATGCTATAGCTGCAACGAGAATAGAACCAGAGAACTCTTGATATGCAAGGTTATTCATTCTGCGATAATAATGGGAGGAATATTCGATGTCTCTTTGAGCCCATTTTCCTTCCAATCACTTCTACATTCTGCAGTGACACAGTCCTTAATAATAGCTTTCATTACAATATTCCTTTACTCCAGACCTCAAAGACTCCTTACTGCCTCCAGCATCAAATCTAAACTCTTTTACCTGGTTTTCAAGGCCCTCTGTAATCTTTTCCTCCTTCAAGATAAAAAGCTTGGTTTTTATCACTGCCACTATTATCTATCATAATGTCATTCGTGATCATACCTTGCTTAAGTTGGTTTCCCTTGCCAAGAACACCGCTTTTTCTATACCTGTTGAAATTTTGGAAACCCAGTTCTACCTTCTCTCTTCCCTTAAGCATCTCTTTCTTCCCTCCTCCCCAAATTTATACTTAGTCACATATATTATCGTACTACCTACTAATCATTCCATGCGTGTTTTTACTAGCTATAAGTTCTGAAGGCAACCATGCCTTGCACAGTGTCCACTTAGGATTCTGAATAATAAATCATCTCCCAAAAATCTGAAAGCTTTCTATATACCAAGCAAATTTGTATTAGTTATGCAGCAAAACTCAAATCTATAGAATCAAAAAGGAATAAGGAAATACAGATTAAACAGTTGCAGCAAAGACTGGTGATCTTAAGGTATTTATTCAAAGCTGGTGGTAGAACAAAAACAGTCTTACAGATTCTACCTCTTGATTAACTCAGTGGCTAATTTTGCCTTTTCTCGAAGTTCTTTTGCAAGAATGTAAAGATATTTTTGTTTCATTAGTTAAGTGCTGTAACTTTATTCCTTTGTGTTTCTCATTAGAAGTATGATTTGGCAGTCTGCCATAAGTTTTTTGGTTTTTTTCTTCCTCTTTGAGATAGGGTCTTGCTCTGTCACCCAGGCTGCAGTGCAGCTGTGTGATCACAGTTTAGCTTACTGCAGACTTAGCCTCCTGGGCTCAAGTAATCTTCTCACCTCAGTCTCCTGAGTAGCTGAGACTACAGGTGCACCCCACCACACCCCGATAAGTGTTTTAACTTTTTGTGGAGATGGGGTCTCACTATGTTGCTCAGGCTGGTCTCGAGCTCCTGGGCCCGAGCAATCCTCCTACCTCAGCCTCCCAAAGTGTTGGAAAGTGTTGGGATTACAGACACGAGCCACCACACCTGGCCTGTTATAAGTTAATACAATAATTCATCAACTAACTTAAAGAACACTAAGACTCTTATAAAAGTAGGTATGAGTTTCAGTAAAAGTATTAAAAGATAAACTGTCACTTAAGGAAAACTAGAGAACATATCAATGCCAAATGGTGTTTTTCAGAGGTGATACCATTTAACACTCACATGTTGAATTGGTTCATTCCTTATAACTCCAGGACACATGTCAATCAGTAAGAGCCCACATGTTTCTCTGAATACACCGTAAGCGAAAGAATATAAAGTAGTCTAGTTAACATTATGTTTAATCAAGGAGCACGTTCCTAAAGATGTTTGTTCATTCATTCTACAGACATTTTTCAGAGGCCTGCTAAGCGTCAAGCATTATGATAGACACCATGGATAAAAGCAGCTTACAACTCAAACAGTGTGGGTATAAATAATGTGACTAGCACTAGAACAGGTGTCATGATGGGGATTCTGAGTATAAATATTTTTTAAAAAATAAATTTTCCTGTATATTTTTGGCTTTTACCTCCTTAATTTAGGCTTTCTGAATGGCACAGCATTTCTGAGGATGCAAACACCTTTCTACAGAGCAAAACAGCATTTGTATAAATTGTGTCTTTGGGGAACCAAGAGACTTTAAATGTGTTTAAACCAATAATTCAGTCAATATCAACATTAGCTTACATGTAATATTCTCTTAATAGCCCAATTTTTTAAAACACCGTATTCTTAGAAGTTTGGTTTCTAAGATGTCACTTTAAGCTCTTTTGCTTGTTGCTTTTGTGGGATTCACAAGGTTTGTTCTCAGGTACATAAATGAAGGTTAGTATAGAGGATAAATATTATGATTCTCATCTGGGAAAGACAGGTGCTGAGATGTAAAAGAGAGGATCCTCGCCACCCGTGCCCCCACCCCGCACCCACGGATCTGCAGTCTTACCTGCGGGGAGAAAGGTCTCCGAGCCTGGCCTGCTGCTCCAGCTCAGGGTTCCCCCTTTCATGACGGCTTGCAAAGATTTCTTCATTCTGAAGTGAAAGAAATTTTGTTAAGATTTGATATTGTGGGGACCTCCTAACCTATATTTTTCTGTCTCCCAATTTCTGTGTTTGATTTTGGTTTTGATTCCCTTGATAAGCAAAATAACCAGTTTCTCATGCCGCTCTTCCTTGGGTTTTCTCCAGCCGCTCTGTGGATCCATTATGGTTTTGCTCTTTTTGGCTTCCTTTAGGCACACTAAAAACTCATTCCCAAAAGCAGGTATCGGCCGGGCATGGTGGCGGGCGCCTGTAATCCTAGCTACTCGGGAGGCTGAGGCAGGAGAATTGCTTGAACCTGGGAGGTGGAGGTTGCAGTGAGCTGAGGTGGCGCCACTGCACTCCAGCCTCAGCAACAGAGCGAGACACCATATCAAAAAAAGAAAAAAACAAAAAACAAAAAACAGGTGTCCTTTCCCCTTAATCATGAAGGGCTATTCACACTGTACTCATAAGTGATTCATAAGAGGACAGTAAAGCGATCATTGCATTCAGCATCTCCTTTTTTTTTTTTTCTCGTAAGAAATCAAGGTCTGGAAAAGTTGCACTCGTCCTAAGACCAGAAAGTGCTGGAGGCAGAGATGAGCTAAGCCCAGTGTAGGCTTTCACAGAGGTGTGATAACAAGTCTAACTAAAGACGTGCCTGGGGTACTAGTTTTGCCAATTCAGCTCTAAAACAATATGGCAATCTTATATTCCAAGTGTGTGTGTGTGTGTGTGTATGTGTATATATATGTGTGTGTGCGTGTATATGTGTGTGTATATATATGTGTGTGTGTATATATATATATACACGTTTTCCTTTTAAAATAGGATGCCAGTCCCATAAGAATCTAAATTTTAGTTCCCTCTATTATATATATCTGACCAGGGACCAGATAGTATTTTTCATGTGTCAATATATAAAAGTTGGCCGGGTGCAGTGGCTCATGCCTGTAATCCCAGCACTTTAGAAGGTGGAGGTCAGTGGATCATTTGAGGTCAGGGATTCAAGACCAGCCTAGCCAACATGGTGAAACCCCGTCTCTATTAAAAATACAAAAATTAGCCAGGCATGGTGGCAGGCACTGGTAATCCAGCTATTTGGGAGGCTGAGGCAGGAGAATCACTTGAGCCTGGGAGGCGGAGGTTGCGATGAGCCGAGATTGTACCACTGCACTCCAGTCTGGGCAACAGAGTGAGACCTTGTCTCAAAAGAAAAAAAATATATATATATATATATATAAGTCCCAGGATTCAAATTTGAACCAGTTCCAGGATTCAAATTCAATCTAATTATTTTCACCACACTACCAAAAAGTCTTTCTTTACATTTTCTATATAAAGTTGAACTAATTAATATAGCAATGAATGTTACATTGTATCCTTTTGCAGTTTCTCATCTATGACATTACTATGCCCAAACTCCCTACTGAACTTTGAACTCAGTCTTACTCATC